GTATTATATAAACCTCAATCAAGGGGCGTATGTTTTACGGAATCTGCGCAGTTTAGAAATCGATACGAACGTACGAGTATGGTCGAAAATGTTTATTCATTTGTTCGACTGTGCTCCAAATTTATGCGAGTTGAAGATCGAAAAAAATCTTCTTCGTGGAATAACTTCAGCGTGGACGGATCGAAACCTACGTTATTCATTTGGAAGACGAATTCATTCATTGGACTTACGATTTAATCGTAGTGATCTAAGTAATAAGGAACTGAGACAAATCCTACCATTTATCCACCGTTGTCGACATCTTACGATTAACTATGATATCAAAATAGGAAAGATTATTTATATTTTACAAAACATGCGTTACCTTCAAGATCTACGTTTTAAAATGCCTCCAACTTGTAAATCAAACTTGAGAACCGAACTAGAAGAACGAAAAATCTTTCTAACTTTCAATTGTTTTCTCATTAGATATGGACGTAAGTATTATCACTGTAGGAAATATTCACCTTTCGAAACTGCCTTGCGGCCCACGAAAAGCAATAAGCGTTAGGACTGGTTTTTTTTGTGTTGTCATGTTGTTGTAATAAAAGCGAAACGTTCGTGACGCAGAGCGTCATCTAGATATCTTACACAGGACTATGCTTCTGTGTGTATTCATCACGAAATAAATATTTAACGACGTTCTTACCGGGGACGCTTCAATGCCCTCAACATTACGTGTATCGTCGCCTTTGTGACTTTGTCATAACGAATATTTAAATACGTGGTAATGGTTCACCCGAATGTATCACACATGTCACGCACACGTCGGTTCGAAACAAAGCTATTTCGTCTACGCAACACATATCCACGTAGTGTATTAATTCTCCCTCTTCTACTCCTGATTCCTGTATGGATCTATTCACGTGATGATCTCACTCAAGCACCTGCTCCATTGAAAATAACACCACAATTACTTGATTCGTTTCGTCAAAAACTTAACAGTTCTCATCACAATGCAGACATCGAGAGAGTCTGGAGCCAAATAATCGAAAAATTTATACCCTTACCACTCGATCAGTACGTTGGTTCTCATGCAGTACCGCTTCTCGCTTCTATTCTTCTTACCAATGAATCTATTCTTGAACTTGGCTGTGGCAATTCAAGTACACCAATGCTTCATAACATATCACTCACCTTCAATCGTCACGTTCTATCAGTTGATTCTAACAAAGACTATTTGTCAACGTTCTCGTCGGTAATGTTAACCAAGCCATTGCATCAATTTCAACATGCACTTGACTGGAGTGCCATCGGAAACGATCGTCAGTGGAGTGTTGTCTTTGTCGACAATGCTCCGGAGAAGCGTCGAATACACGACATTATTAAACACGCATATAGATCACAACTTATCGTTCTTCACGATTCAGAGAGTGCAGGATATATGTATGACAAAGCTTCTCCATTTTTTCCGTATCAGTATCGATATCAATATTTGAAAGCATATACTGATGTCTGGAGTACGACCAATTCAGAATTAATTGAAAAAGTTCGATATTTGTCAGAATTGACAGTTCAATGGCAATTACCACGGATGAATATCAAGAAAAAAGACACAGTTTAAAAATATAAACATTGATAAAACCGGTAATTCCACTGCATCATGTGGAATTTGGTTTAAAAGCTAGAAATTCTTTTTATTTCGTTCGAAATTAATTCAAATTTTTGTACTCGATGATTGTCACATAATCAAAAACACAGAAATATCCTTCGGAATTAAATGATATACTTCTAGGACACGATAATTGACCCATTCGATTGTCTTGGTCGTTGCCATCAGCAACAATTTCACCATTGCCTCCATAGCTACAGCAATTCCTTCTCGAGTATATTTCATCACACGATGGTACTTTTCATTTGATACTTTAACCGATTGATCTTCGTTGACAAAGATCCAGGTAGAATGATCGAGTTGATTTCGCTGATCTTCAAAATTGTTTCCACCAGCGACTAGTGCTCCAGAATTTTCACTTGTTTGCCAGCAGCCTACTTCGCTAACTTTAGTGTTTGAAACATAAACAAGTCTTTTCGCATCCAATGATACTTGTTGGACTAAGCTGATCTGTTCGATTTTCAAACTCAACAATCTGTCCTTGGCGCACATGTAAATGCAGTAAAGGATTCAAGTTTCGCCGGCATCGATTTTAATCCACGTGACTGTTGACTTTGAACGCTTCGCGCGAATTTCTGTAATTTGAAATAACGTAAATGATACGCCCGACAACAATCCAGGAAACGTGTAGTCAGACATAAGGATTTCTAGCGTTGAGATTATTTAAAATCGTTTGTGCATTGGAAGCATGAATTGATAGTTCTGAGCCACTAAGTGCTACTCTCATTCTCGCACTATCTTTCGTCTTTTCAACAGAGTCATCCGATGGAATAAGATAGTTTTGATTCAAAAAAAAAGTTAATAAAGACAGTATTTCTCTAAACATCTTCATACCTCTCACTGTATTCCATGCTCGGCGAACTAGAAAAGTACTAGATTCTTTCTTCTATCAAACATTCAAAATCAATTAAACAACGACGCATTTCTCTATAAGTTGGATTCAGCTGTAGCCCATCATCATGAATAAGAAATCCCACTGCTTTTAATGTTAAAGACATCGCCTGCGCATCAGTGACAGCAGTGAATAAACTTATGCTTTGTTCACAATTACTAACATCAATGACAATCGCTAGCTTGCGACATCCATTTGCCAAAATAAAGCTACTGTCTACTTTAATCGCGAATTGGAAACTTTTGTTTCATTTGTGTGTTCGACTTTCTTTAATGTTGTTATTTTAGTTATAAACAAAAGGAAAAGAAAGAAAAACAAACGCGTGCCTTGTGTGTATGCATAAACGATAACACATTTCGTGTTCTCGACCTCTGACGAACATAGTTAGAAGAGAGAGCTTCGACAGCTGTAGTCATCACAAAACGAAAAAAAACATAGTTTTTTTCCTAATGAGTCATTAGCTGTTTGTTGGGTGCGTCATAATCTCCACAAGGTGATAGGTTGGAAATGGCCAACGCGTTGTATCAAATGTAAATACTTAACATAATATAGTCGTATATAAAATAGAAAAAAATCAGGAATACGATTATTATAGAAGAAGCATAGTTGCGCATTATAGTCTATACCTCGTGGTAATTATTTATTTTGCCTTAACATAACAAAAAAAAAATGAAGATCTTCATTCGAACATCAACTGGTACAGGTCGCACTTATGACTTTGATGTTGAGCCGTCAATGACAGTAGCTCAATTGAAAGCAAAGTTCTTAGAGAAAACCAACGACCAATCCGATACACAACAAACTTATTTTGCATTTGATGGTGAAAGACTCTGTTGTAAAAATGATACACTAGCAAGCTATGGAATAGAAGACTACTCCGATTTAGAGGCATATTCAGAAAACGCTTCTGCAACGCGTCAAATCGGTGGTGTGGGGATAAAATTCATTGATGTTAGTAACAAGGAAGGTTTGAAAAGAGTCGGATGGTCAAAAACAGCTCCGAAATGGCGTGAAACTCGGCATGGATTGTGTCTTGAGGGCATATGTACCAATACAAAATGTGAAGCTAATGGAAAGCAAGTCATAATGCCGATTGGATATGTGAAGTTTGATATAGTCGCCGATCCAGGTCCAAAAACAACGAAGTGCCCTTCATGCGGAGAATTTGTGGAACCTGAATCATGCGGTTTTAATAATTGCTGGTGGAAATACCAAGGAAAAAAACAAACTGGAGACAAAAAAGCTCCCATCGATTGTGAGTGTGATTGGCAACAAGCGGATAATGCATATCATTATTTTGATGATAAGACAACTGAAAAAGTTATGTGGAGGAAACTTATTGTTGAAGCAAAAATAGAGAAGCCAACATAAGACATTGATTTGCTTTTATTTGTAAATGGAGTCGAAGTTTCGAAAGTATTTTAATTTTAATTTTAATTTTATTTCATTACCTCTAAATAGAAGATAAACGACACATCTATGATGGTACAAAAAATAAAAGCAGAAGCGTTTGAATACATAGTTCAAATTCAATAGAACGATCGCATTTACCGGTATTTATCGGCGGATCACAGAAATATTTATATTTCACAATTATAATAAAAGATTTCGTTCTCCATACATTATCCTTCATTAATATCGTGAGTAGTAGATACATAAGAATGAAATATCTAGTTGTATTTCAAATAGCGTATAGAAACAACTGTTTGGAACATAATCTCAGAAACACTAACATCGTTGCAATGAAGTTATTTTTGTCTAGACGATAATACTTCCACGTTGAAATACGTAATTAATAAAAATGCCTTCTGTATTTACGCACAAATAGTACGATTGTGTCTAATGATTATCAATTCTTCAAATCTTCCTTTTTAGAACTCATCCTTCCATGTAGAAGTGCGCAGAGTCATATCAAGTTTATTTTGAAAGGTTAATTTACAAATATGTGCTTTCTTCTGCTAATTAGAATCGTTGTACTTCAGATAATACGATGATAAAGTAAGAACTTCTGCAAAAGTTGATGCCAAAAATATTCACGAGCGCCATGTAATATATGAATGCTTGCCAATAATCTAACTGTGTAAAATTCGATTGAGATGATTACTTGCCATGATATAAAGGTGAAACGAGCGTATTTTATCACAGTAAAAGATCATGAACACTATGTTGAAAATAAGATTATCTACAGAACGACGTTCGCTACTTTTGCCAACTTCCAATGTGAGCGTCGCAAATCATCGAAACAAACTGAAAGACAATGATTTACAGCAATCTTCAGAATACTACGATCGAATTCTGTTCCTATTGTCCTTGTTGCTTTCATGTAACGGATATTCTCGTAGAGGTTGATGCCGAAATGAAAGATTAGCAGTCGCGATCCGAAATATTGAATGGAGAATAGCCGAATCTTGTCAATCTATATGCATTTTTTTCTTGATGATGACAAAAAATGACCCCATGAGCCGTCAATCATGAACCAAATCACAAGACTAGTAGAATCGTGTGATTTGAAAGCCTATGCTAACAGGTGACAGAACACACATATACATGTGACGACCGTTGATTTCGATTAATGAAGATGCCGAGGTTGAGTAATGTGCCAATGAGTAGGTAAATAATACTCGAATAAGAGAGCAGATAGGTTTTGATTGTATCAATATTTGTGGCTTGAGGATCGATTGTTAACGAGTTACTCAATAGTGTCGAATTAGAAGACAGGAAAGAAGTGCATCGACTCGTTTTTCTTTCGGCACTATGCGCTTGAACTAGTAGGGACATGTTCATCACTTGTCATCTTTGAATGAGTGAAAAATAATAGATCAGCAGACCAGATCTTCGAGGGAAGCATCGATAGTTTTGCCGTGTTCATGTGAAAGAATGTTGTCGAAAGTCCTCTTACTTACGTATGCCATTTGATGTGGCTTATACTCAGATAAATTTCGTTTTGATTCAAGGATACTACGCTCTAGAGTATCAGATGACAAATGAATAGGTCTTCCTGATGATTTCCGCATATGTAATCTTTTCTTCTCTTTCTAAAATTATTCTTTAACATATCTATAAGACTTCCACTGAACAAGAGATTATATTTGCAATGTAAAATTGTTGCCGTCATTAATTAAAGAAACCAAGGATATGCCTATAATGCACATTGATTTATGGATACTTGCAATATTTAAACCACGTAGGCATATCTTTTCTTCTCTTACTTATTTTTTCCTTAAAACACCACTACATTCATTAGTATATGACAACAACAAAATAATCTCTAACTCTCTGCAGGTACAATCACGTTGATACAGCGCATTCTCGTGATAAAGCCCTTGAGTATTTTTCGGAAGTGGTAACTCGTCAGCGTATAGATATAAAATGAGCACATTTTGTCACAATAAAAAATCATTAATGTTGCATTGAAAATTAAGTTTTCTATCGAACGACGTAGATTGCTTTTGCTAATTGTCATCGTCGCTGTTGAATATAATCGAAATACGATGATAGGTATTGAGCATAGAAGAAGTACGATAACCTGAAACACGATCATCTTCAAAATACTTCGATCGGCTTTTTGCTTGTTAAGTACATGGCCTTGTTGTTGAGAAGAAATCGTCGCCATCTGATGAACATTCTGATGGATTTTGATGCCGAGACAAAATATTAGTAGTGGTGGTGCAAAAAATTGAATAAAGAAAAGAAGAATTGTGTCAATGGTAGTACATGGTGTGTTCTTAGCTGAACAAGGTGCAGCAGCCATTACCAGGGGTCCATCAAAGCAATAAAATATCTGGGCATAGGCAGCTGAAATGCAGAATGTGATCGCCAATATTGTTCGACGACTGTTTCGATGAGAACTCATTCGCCGGACACATGCTTTTCTTGATGATGACAAGAATCGATCCCAGCAGCTACCAATCGTGAACCAAATCACAAGACTAACAGAAACATTCGCAATATAAACTTGAAGTTTACATAGAATCGGAATATAGTAGAATGGTGTTATTCGAAAGCCTATCCCAATACGCGACAGAATAGACACATACATCAATGGCAAAGTAGCCAGAGTAGACGCCAACAAGTACGGTATACATGGAGATGAAGATCGGTAATTTCGATCAGTAAAGATGTAGAGGTTAAGTGACGTACCTATAGTACCGATAAGTAGATAAATGATGCCCCAATAAGAGAGTAGATAGTTTTTAATCGTATCGATGTTTGTCACTTGAGAATCAGTTGTTGCCGATGAAGTATTCATTCTTGGAAATGAAATCTAGAACAGCATATATGCTTGTTAACAAATGAGAAAAAGTTTTCTGTAATGTAATGTAATTCAAGAGAATACCCAGTTTCTTATAAGATTCGCCTACATGAATTTTTCATAAGTTGGATGACGCACTTACACATAAGAAAAATAAGAAAGATCTCGCTATTAAAACGTATGGTTTTGAGAAATGAATGGTACGTTATAATTCCCTTTGGTATCGATGTTCTATCGAGCATATGTGCATATAATTATAGCCAGAACTTATCGCAAGGTACGGCAAAAAGTAAACCTTTCGGTCATACTAATTTTCAAGGGACCTGTATTCATGGAAATTTCATTAGA